ATTTTGTGGGTTGTGTGCTCCTTGAAGAGGCGCCCAGCTTGGCATTGGCCTTGCACCATTAAGGTCGCCGGAAAACCACTGTCGACGCGCAATAGTGGTCTGGCGGAGTTCAAGCTATTAGAATGAGCTGAAATTTCTTGATGCAGAAGATAAGTGGGTGGGGAATAAACCCCAGATATCAAAACTCCACGAACTTGCCCAAAAATTAGACGAAATGCCTTGCGACAGTGCATCAGGCAATCTCGCTGGAAATTCTCAAAGCTTCTCCATCGTTATTTTCCCTCAAATTGTAAGGGAGAACGAATTGAATTTTGGCAAGGGAGTAGATCTGATGATGCTCCATCATCTCCACTAGACGGAATTCGAATCAAACCACATAAATTTGTTATTGTTGCAAAGGTTTTGAATTTGATTCGTAGCTTTGTTCAAATATATTCGAATTAATTTCAAAAAGGGTTTCGGGTGGGTTTAAAATGAAATGGGCGGGTTTTCCAACTTTGGGTAAAAAATAAATTTAAAAAATCAGGTAAGTAGTTGAGATGAAGCCACGTGTCCAGCCGTTAGTCTCAAGGGTATACAAAACCCAAATATTGACGGTAAGGGTATATACTGTAGAAAACACAGTACAGAAAGAAAAAGAAGAGCTTAATATTATTGATATATTTCGTATTTAAAACTACTGCACAATACCTCATTATATAGGCTGTTGGCAGGTTACAATATAGAAGAGTTCTACTTGAATACTACTTTGTAAGTTAACTCTTATTAGTAATACATAATAACACTTACACTCCTAATGCAATACATACTCCTAATCCTAACACAATTCTAACACAATTATGCTTTTTTACGCTAGTCTCCAACATATACAACCTTAAAGTATAACGGAGGGTATTGACATACCATTTATGATAGTTCGGGGGTATATTTGTTCTTTTTCCCTTACACCTATAAATATGATCACGCAAGACTGAGCCCTATTATATCACTGCATCATAATAACTACACCATCTTTTATACTAGTAGTTGATTTTATTGTTTTGGATTTTGTTGTTGTCTCTACCCTCATTGTTTAACTCAAGAAAAACTTTCAAATCGTGAAAGTAGTTTTTGAAGATAGTGCATAGCACGACTCAAGTGTTACTTGTACTTGTTCCTTACTCAAGCCTATGCTAGCTACATTCAAACAATTCAGTTCATATGGATTAGAGAGAGTAACATTATAAAATTGAAACGCACTAGAAGAAAAAGGAAGGAATAACAATGCAAGAAAACTTAGACAAACAACTGAATTACAAATACAACCATTAAGTAAAAACATATAGGACACACACAACACATGTTGATACAAGTATAGTAAAATGGGAGCTTAAATAGAAGTAGGGGCGGAGCTAGAGCTAGCTCCTCATAGCGAGGTTATTCAAGTAACACTTTCAACTTTTAATTACTCTGCTTTAATTTAGCAACGGGGAGGATTAGGTAGTCTGCATTTCTGAGGGAGCTGAATTGCGAGATTAGGATCAATTCCGAGAGAAGGTAACAACTGGGAATTTTTGTAAGAGCAAAGGCAGGCCATGTCTGCATGGGACAGCGCGTTACAGCACTGGGCTGTAGGCGCTGTCGGATAAGGTGGTGTGATTGATGGTCTGCATGACATTAATCCTTCACCCGACACGTTACATATTCCTTGTGCCTGCGACACCTCTATACTAACACTGCTTAACACTATGGCAACCAAAGCCAATGTCATAATTTTTTTGGCAAAGTTATAATGCTCCATCTCTATTTCTTTCTTTCTTTCAATGTGTGAATGAAAGTGAATGAAATAAAGGGTTTATATAGTTATAATTAGATAGGTAGGAATTTAATGTGTGTGTGTGATTGGTTATGGGTGTGGATAGTGTAAGAAATGGAAATCCGTGAAGGTTCATTGGATTTACTTTTATGGCAAAAGTGTGGGTGTCACGGGCTCTGTTTTTTTGTGCAGTCAAGTGGCCATTCTCATTATTAAGTGACCATTCATTGCGCTTGCAAACCAAACCATACAAGAGATTGATTTATATCGCATTAGTCAAGCCTTATTTGACAATCTCATAACTGAGTAGTAGATAGAGGCTGGATTCAATTCCAGGACCTCCCAACCACTCAACCATTAATTACTTCATTCGCCACAATTTATGTACTGTTATTTCTTCTTGTTGTTTATTGAGAGTTAATTTAAATTTCGAGATGCAAAAGAATATTGCATAAATTGAGACAAATGAAGTCAATATTCAGTCGTTGTAAAGTAGAGTCTCAAACAAAGTTTGAAGATATATCCAAGCAATTGAGTAGAGATTTTCAAGTTTAGGGACTTGACAATCACGGGAATAGATTTGATTTAGAATCCTTAACTGATATTCTAGAGTCACGAGAAGAACTATGACGTAAATAGGTATATACTCGTGCTACTACTACTGGTCCTGACTTATGTTTCTCTAAAAAATATAGACAACTAACATAGGTTTGTTGACATCTCACTGACCTTAATTAAAGGTTCCAGATTCAAGCCTTTGAGAATGAAAAAAAATCTTATTTGGAGTTTCACCCACCATAAATGAGCTTTACAATCTGGATTTAATAATGAGACCTCAATGAGGATACCAGGATGGAACACCTTTTGACTTGCTAATACATAGTTGGCCAAAAAGCAAAATCAAAAGGAGCAAAATGCTGCCGTTCCTGTTGAATATGTTATGTGCATTTTTAGAACGCACATTTCATTGATGATTAACATCTTGTGTAGAAAGTAATGGGATCAAAGTTGGATAGGAGAGGGACTAACGCTTGGTCCCCATTGTACAAAACAAGCTCCTTGCATAAACAAAAATAAGAGATAGCATCTGTGTTCAGCACGAAAATAAATAAACTCAAAATGGAATTTCTTGATCAATCAGGTATGCTGAGGAACCATAACTTCTCCGGGTTTAAATCTTAGTGAGGCAAAAACATTAAGCGATCTCTTTCCATCTATTCAGGACACAATTACCTGTGTTGCTAGGAGGTAGCAGGTACCCAATGAAGAACAAATGTAACTTTCTAGAAGCTATGCAATTAGATGAAGAGAAAGAACCTGATATCTGAAAGTACTGCTGTTCTTCAAGTTATTTCAAGCTTCCAGAATGAGATGCAAATCATTAAGCGCCTCAGCAACTGAAGATTGTAGGACAAAAATGCAGGGTCTATAGTATGGAGTGAGAACATCAGCTTTTTTACTCGCACAAAAAGTCATGCAAGCTGGGGTTTTGGACGTTTACCCTTCACCTCATGATATCATTCATTGTCAGCCTGCACTTTTTTTTTTTTTTTTTTTGATTTGCACCGGGTGTCCGAGTCTCTTTGAGCCCCGCATAATCCCGGGGGTGCACAGGCCATCGGCTAGAAGTTTCCCGCAAGTGCACCACGGTTAATTCAGGTTTTACTCAGTCCGATGGCCCTCAGAAATTGTTTGCACCCAGTGGGTTTCGAACTTGAGAATTGTCAGCCTGCACTTTCTGTTTATATAACCCTAAAATTTCATCAAGTACACACATTCTTCATCCAAGCTGTTGTAAATTGCAATTTTCAAAAACTTGAGCATGAGGTATTCAGATGTTGTGGTTAGACCAATCTTACCATTAGTCCACCATAATCTGAAGTTCTGAACTGAATTTAGAATGGAAAGGAAAATAGGTATGAGTTGTTCACGAGGATCAAAATAACACCATGATCTGTAAAGCTTTTATTTCTTAACTTCCAGTCAGAACTCATACTGATAGAACGTAACAACGCGTTCAAATAGCTGGTCTACTGCACAGTAGACCATGAATGTCAAATGTGATATAGTTATATGATCGACTGCTACCAAACCATGAGTTCATCGAAACTAACTCTCAAAGATAAACAGTATGGGTTAATGTTAATACAGTTTGACTTGTAGGAACCATCACCAGTACAAATGTGTATCTTTAACATTCCCCAAACTACCGTTATTAAACTCAGTAGAAGTCTTTAAATATGGATTCCATAGTAGATTTTTCAAGATTGGATTTTATTATATCCAATTTGCCAGACCCGGTTGTCGGACCACACTGGGCATGTTGTTGTTATTGTTTAGAGTAATACTAATCAAGCAAGAAACAAATTTACCTTTTAAGTGTGTCCAATCACCTCAATGACAATCAATTTACTCTACCTAAATATGCTTATATGAATCTACTATATCAATTTTGCTAATATAAGGTCCATTTCATTCCAAAACAAAATAAATTTGTCTTTTAAGACAAATTAGGAGCTCCCTCAAAGTAGAGGTCCTCTAAATCTCACTTATATTTTTGAGACAGTAACAGCTAAATGCCTAGATATCACTTATTCCTACACGGTCAATCAAGTGTCTAATCAGAATGAGAAGACACTTGACAAACACCGAACTTAATGTATGTTAAATAGCAAAACGTAATTTTCACTAGTTGGTCTTGGCATATTGCATTCAAAGGTGTGGCCTAGCGGTTAATGAAGTGGGAGGAGAATGGAAAACCATGAAGTCTCAAGTTCAAATCCCAATGGAGGCAAAACACACTAGATGGTTTCTTTCTATCTGCCTGAGATTTGGCGGGCAGATTGCCCAGTATTGTGCTGGTGGGAGGTATTGGGTACCGGCATCATTAAGGAAAAAACCAATTAATTGATATCGCCTATATTAGATGCAATGCAAGCTAATCCAGATTTCTAGTTCCAAAGATCATAGTAACTGATAAATGTAGATTATAGTCCCACACTCGCAATATTCAATACGTTACAACCCAATGTGGCATGTGACAGAGCATGCACAAGTAACATGAATTTTGTGAATAGTAATACAAGCTTTGGTTCAAGATTTCAGATTTTGTAGTATACTATGGCCAAACCAGAGCTTTTTAGGCATGACAAGCATATACATGTTAAAAAGGAAATACTAATCAGATAAGATACAAGTTTCTAGCTGCAGTATCCAAAGTGGATTCTCTTTAAGGTCATATAATTCAACCAAATAGGTCGAATTAAGGCAGTTTCCATTGTGATGCACCAAAGCAATGCCAAAAATAAGCAGACTGTTACACAAAACAGAGTTCCATAAAAGGACTCGAGTTCATAGTACTCTCAAAAGTAATTTAGAGCCTCTCTCCCCAACTCTGCCAACAACAAAATCACCATCTGGTCATTTCTATACGGCAAATTAATGACGATAAAGAACCAAATGCTGACAAAAGGAGTACATATTACAAACTTACTATGTTTAAAACTGAGAACAAATCATAGCTTGGAATTTTGGCTCAACAAATAGCTCTTCAGAACATCCATAACTGATCCAAAATCTGCCTTCACTTCCACAGGTGGGTTAGCAAACCGACATTCCATGTCTTTTATTTCCTTCGAGTGGTAATCAATCTTGGATTGAGTAAACTTCAATCCATGAGCTGTACTCACAACCACAGTCCTATCAGTTGGTGCAATGACTCCACTGTTTCTCAGCTTGAACAGTGCAGTCAATGCCACACCAGTATGTGGGCAAATGAACATCCCAGTCGAGTCCGCCTGAGCCATAGCATCCATCAACTCCTCCTCGGTTGCCTCCTCCACTATCCCGTTGCATTGCTGCAGGGCAAAAACAGCTCTGTCTATAGACACCGGATCACCAATCTGTATAGCAGACGCAAATGTTGTGTTTGCCTTCACAGGTTTGAAGTCTTTCCAACCAGATTTGTAATGCAAGTAAAGCGGATTAGCGTTGGCAGCTTGAGCACAAACAAGCCTAGGGATGCGATCCACAAGCCCCAACTCTTTGCACATCTGAAAACCTTTATAAAATGCATATATGTTGCCCAAGTTCCCACCAGGAACTATCACCCACTCCGGAACTTCCCAATCAAACTGCTGCAAAATCTCAATTGCTGCCGTCTTTTGCCCTTCCAACCTCAAACTATTCAACGAATTTGCCAAGTAAATAGGCAACTCAGCAGTAACTTCACGAATCAACTGCATACAACCATCAAAATCAGTGTCAATACTCAACACAAAAGCCCCATTTGCAATAGGTTGAACCAGTTGCGCCATAGATATCTTATTCGCAGGTAGAAATACAATTGACGGAATGCCTGCAGATGCACAGTAAGCCGACAGCGCCGCAGATGTGTCTCCAGTAGAAGCACACCCCACACCGACAACCGGTTTATGCATTTTCCGCAAGCGATTAACTTGACTCACCAAAACAGTCATCCCAAGATCCTTAAAACTACCAGTATGGCTAATCCCACAGTGTTTGACCCACAAATCAGTCATGCCTAGAAACTGTTTGCCAAAACGCTCAGCCCAAAACAGATTCGAGTTCCCTTCAAAAGCACTAACAATATCATCACTATCAATTTCAGGCAGAACCCATTCCTTCTTAGACCAAACACCGGACCCATAAGGCCAAGTAGTCTTACCGACACGAGAATCAAACAAGGATCGCCAATACTGACCATCAAACTTCTTCAACGCATCCATATCATGCTGAACATCAAGTAATCCACCAGACCGACTCCGATAAACAATCTCATCTAGAGAATACCATTCATCAGAATTGGGACCAGCATTAAAAGGAACATACCTGGCTGAAAAATTATGAGATGAGCAGTGACGGCGCGCTTCTTCACGGATGTTCTCGTCAGCAGGACGGCGGTGCTTCTGTTGGGAAATCGCATCGTTTGTGGCTGTAGCTTTAATCGGAGTGAAGAAATGAATACCATTATTAGGTTTTGAAGTTGATTGATGATGAAGTTGAGGAAGACCAGGAGAGAGGAAAGAGGATCTAAGCATGCAAGAAGCCGCCATTGTTGTGTGATTGTGAAGCTGAGAAGACGCGGCTTTTGTCTATAAGGGGCCATACCATATACATCTGCTAATGCTCTGCCCTTAACAGGTACTGCATTAAGATTACGACATGTGTACAGGTGTTACAATCCAGTGGCTTACAATGACTTGCCATTTTCACGTGATTAAATTATTGCTACTATTCATATCACCATGAAATTTATGCATTTTTATTTTAACGGCTGAGGAGGATTCATGCTAATTTTCTGTAGACCTTATATTTGTATTAAAAAATTAAATAAATATATATATATTAACATGTGAATTCTCAAATAAAATTAATTTAGAACCCTCAAATTTCTAATCTTGACTCCGTCTCTGATTTAAGTCAAACAAAAAATAATTGAATTTGTCCGAACATTTATGGTAATATAAAATTTTAGATATTTGTCTGAGATTGCACTATTACATATCTAACTTTATCTGTAGGCATTTGTAAATAGAGATGAAAGCATAGTATAATTTCTAGACGATCGAATAAGAATAATATATTTGTGTCAATTACAAGTCAAATAGGGACATCAAAATGAAGTATTCGTGTTTGGCAATAACACTGGCACTAACGTGTTGTCACATGACAATAGTTGTATTTACATGACTCACCTCCGTGTGCATGACTCAGGACCTATTTTAAGGGGAAAAAATGATATTCCTTTGAGGTTATTCTGGAGTAATTTCCTTAGATAATCATCCATGTTTGAGAAATTATCTAGGAATATCATTTATATTTGTTTTAGGACTACAATATCACCTAACTTTATCTATTCTTCCTCAAAATATACTTGACACAATAAATACATTATCTCTTTCCTACTAGAATGTCATGTCACATTATTCCTTTTTTTATTATTATTAACAATTTTTAATTTTTTTTTAGACAATCCATATATTATACCCAATAAAAAAAAATTACATAAGGAACTCTAATATGAGCTCCTCTGATTCTTCAAGAAAATATGTGGCTTTCTCCGGTTCTTCAAGGAATAAATTAACGAATTTGCATAAGGAACTGTCTCCTGAGATGATATATACTTTTGATCACCAAAGAAATCTCCACGAGGTAAAATTCAAGTTTTCTTCTGATTCTTTTATTTTTGAAGTGTAAATTGTGAAATAATTTGAATACTTAACATAATATTGAAGTAATTTTCTTAAAATTTAGGGGTTTTTTGCTTGCTTGTTTTTTAATCGGATATTTCTATTGTTTAAATCTGCCTAAGCTTTGAACAAATGTTTATAGTTTGTGTAAAAATCTTTTTTTTACCATGAACAAGAAACCTTTGATTTTTTACCGTGAACAAGCAACGGATATTTATAGTTTGTGTAAAAATCAATGTTCCTAATATCTACTTTATCTCTGAATATCCAACTAAATTTATTGTTTCTTCATCAGCTTCAAGTAACTAGTTTAATTTTTTCCTCGACAACGAGACTAAATTTTTGTATGGATATAACGGCAAATACTCGTAAATGAAACATAGGATAAAGATTTTCGCTATAAAATTGAAGTAACTAGATTTTCATAGAGAATAAATTAATGCTCTCTTATAGATACATTAAACAAGCTGTCATTTAAAGAATTAATAATAGTATGAAAGATAATGTATAAAGAATTAATAAGAATTAAATGTATGAGATAAAGAATTAATAATAGTATGAGAGAGATAATGTATTTTTTGTGTCAAGTATATTTTGAGGAAAATAGGCAAAGTTGGGTGATATTGTAGTCCTAAAACAAACATAAGTGATATTTCTAGGTAATTTCCCAAACATGGTGACTATCTAGAGAAATTACTCGGTTATTCCGTTAATTAGTTGAACGACCGTAGTATTTTAAAATCATTTTTTTTCTTTACCATATTTGTTTTATTCATTTTGTATTTTGCAACCCGTTTTATCTTTTTTCAAATTTACTTTGTGGATTACATCAGGCATATTATTGTTGATATTGTTTCAATTACAGATAAATGAAAATACTGAGATGATATGTGAACATACTATTACTAGGAATGATAAGATTATGAATGAAGATGTTCGAGATAAGTTGAAATGATATTGTAGTGGATAGGATGAGGAAATGAATATTGTGATGGTTTGGACACATGTGAAGAATAGATGTACAAATATATATCCAATTTAAAAGGTGTGAGAGGTTGGATATAGTGAGTACGAAAAAAAGGCAGGTCAACCAAAATATTATTGGGGAGATGTGATTACACAAGACATAACGCAATTTCAACTTATCAAAAACATGACATTAAGTAGGGGGACATTAAATCACAATTAATATAAAAATTAATAGATAATTGAACATTACCTTGCTTTTCAACGGGATTAGACTTAATGCTAGTCTAGGGACAATATCTGGCAAAGTAAAATCCTTATTCATATAATTTCTTACTTTTGTTATTTGTTAGCATATATTGTCTATTATGTTTTAATGATCATTGGACTATTTTGTTAATATAACTATTCCTAATTATTTGTATGCCTTATATTGTTTTTCTATTATTATTATTAGTTTTTTTTTTATTGTTATTTTATTTAACTTCACTTGAATCGATGGTCTTTTACGAGATATGAATAAAATCTACGTAGATCTTGTCCTCTATCGCATCCATTTAATTATTTTCTTTTTCAAAAATAGTAAGATCCAAAATACAAATTTGTATTACCAAAAATCATTTAATAAAGGGACCGCAAAGTGTGATTGGGCCTAACTAGATGGCTAGTCGACCCAACAATTGGGCAAATGCAGGTACAGGGAAGACTAAAATACGTGCACGCAGCGTATCGGTTTTACTGATGAAAGGATAAGGTTGGGCACGTCAGAATGTCGTCGTTTGGAACAACTTCAACTTGTTCGGACGAATATAACCCTACCCACTCTGCCAATTGATAGTTGACACGTGGCTCCTTTTCTCCACTTTTTCTAAATTCCCTGAAAAATATATAGTACTACACAAAATTGCTCATACGAAGAAGAAGAAGAAGAAATAGCAGCAGCAGAAGCAGCTCACCTGTTTTAAGATAAGCTCCGATTGAATATCTCCGGCGAGATCATAGATTTTCCGGTGAGTTTTTCCGATCCCTTACGCCGCTCTGATTTGTATAGTTGACCATTATGAATCTTTCCCATATGATACGGATACAGAAATGTTAGGTCCTTTTGCTATTACCCATTTCCGATCCAAAATATGGATTCGCCAGCGAAAAAAATCTTTACCTTCGTCATCTAGCTTCAATTTAGTAGAATAGACGCTGATTGTTACTGTACATTTCCGGGAGGGAAAAAAAAGGATTGAGAAAATTGAGACCGAGACAGGAAAACTGGGGAAAATGAGTTTAAGTGTAGCGGAGGAGGAATCGGCTAAGGAAATCCAGTTGCCGGCGGATGTAGACTGGCAAATGCTGGACAAATCTAAGTTTTTCTTCCTCGGCGCCGCCTTATTTTCAGGTGTTTCAGCTGTGCTTTATCCTGTTGTGGTGTTGAAGACTCGTCAACAGGTAGCGCAAGTTCATCTTTCCTGTTTCAAAACTGCCTTTTCCGTTGTTAGGCTTGAAGGGATTCGCGGATTGTATCGTGGGTTTGGGACTTCGTTGATGGGTACAATTCCTGCTAGGGCACTTTATATGACTGCTCTTGAGGTTACCAAGAGTAGTGTTGGTACGGCCACGGTTAGGCTCGGCATTCCTGAGCCTACTGCGACCGCGTTAGCCAGTGCTGCTGCTGGGCTGAGCGCAGCCGTTGCCGCACAACTGGTTTGGACTCCGGTGGATGTGGTGAGCCAGCGGCTCATGGTGCAGCGTGTTTGCGCTGCACCAGCATCGTGTAAATATCTCAATGGGATCGATGCTTTTCGAAGAATCCTCAAGACAGATGGACCTAAGGGACTGTACAGAGGTTTTGGGTTTTCAATTTTGACATATGCTCCATCCAATGCACTGTGGTGGACATCGTACGCTATCACTCAGCGGCTTGTCTGGAGTGGGTATGGATGTTACTTCAGCAAGAATGGTGATGACAGAATTGAGGATAACATCAAGAGTACTCTGAAGCCTGATTCGAAGACTGTTATGATGGTTCAGGGAGTGAGTGCAGCCATGGCCGGAGGCGTTTCAGCTCTGATTACAACACCATTAGACACAATCAAAACAAGATTGCAGGTCCTGGATGGCGATGAGAATGGACGGAGAGCGCCAACAGTAGCTCAGACTGTAAGGAATTTAGTAAGGGAAGGTGGGTGGATGGCTTGTTACAGAGGATTAGGCCCTCGATGGGCTTCAATGTCCATGTCTGCAACCACAATGATCACTACTTACGAATTCCTCAAACGCCTCTCCACGAAGAATCAAGAAAATTGGGCATAGTGATCCCCATAGACAGTTATCGCTCTTCTTAGGTTTACTTTTCTCTCTTTGATCCATGTATAAGTTTTCTTTTTGAATGATCCTTTTTTTAGGAATCAGTATGCTGAGTTTAGACATAAACAAAGCCTAGATCAAGAACAAAAAGAATGATGAATGTAAGTTGTTCATGTACAAGTATGAATCTGTATATATAGTCCAATTCACTAAATTTATTTGGCTGTTGTTACTGTTTCACTTTCCTGTATGCTATCCTATGCTTTCTCTAGTACTTGTTTTATCTCTCATCTTAGGTATGTTTTTTGATTTGTGTTATCTGAGTGGATCTTTCGGAAACAGCCTCTCCATCTCTATGAGGCAGGGGTAAGGTAGGTACTCTCTCTACCCTTTCTAGACCCCATCTCGTGGAACTAAAGTGGGTATGTTGCTGTTGTTGTACTGAGCAATTTGTCTACTTCCAGATGTGAGACTTCTTCTTCTTCCTTCAAGAACTATACTTTTTCAAGAATGGAGCCAAATAGTAGGAACCTATCCTTCTCAGGCACTGATCAAATAGTAAGATGAGAATCTGTAGTGGGCTTAATTGACTTTTAGCTAATCTCAGCCAATGGAAGATAAGATTCTGCCTGATCATGATGTTGATTTGAACATGTTGCGTGCACAAAGGTTTTAGCATATTTATTTTTGATTTAATGTGACAGGAACTCAGTCAGATTGAGGTTGTTCATATTGTCGGATGAGGGTTGTTGTTGTCTGACAATCTATGTAAAATTTGTCAATTTGGGAGCAACAGGAGTTAGGAGAGGCAGAGGTAGGTTGGTACCAAGTTTGGATATAGGAGGAGGGTTGTTGTAGGCTGACATCCTGTATAAAATTTGTCAATTTGGGAATAGTAAGAGTTAGGAGAGGTAGAGATAGGTCGAAAAGGGAAAGTGATAAAACAAAATATGACACAATTTCAACTGACATGGTGGTCGAGGATCATGGTATAAGGTTAGTGAATGTCTGTCGTACTCCTAGTACTCTAGTAGTATGATTTAGGGATCACATAGTTTTTTTCTCTCATGTGTACTAATATCCGTTGCTACATATGTTATGTGTATTGTTATTTTGTTGTCTCCTTTTCTCTCTTACTTTTCTGTTTTTCTGAGTCGAGGATCTATTGAAAATAGTCTCTCTTGCCCGCAAAGATAAGAATAAGATTTGTGTATATCCTATTCTCTCCACACTCCATGCAGCTAACGCAACTTGTTTGAAAACGAGGATAGTTGTTATTGTTTAACGAGACAGGAAAATGTGGTGGGGCCAACGTAATTATCCAACATTAAGGGATTAGATTTAGTAGATTATCTTATTGTTTAATATTCAGATGACTAATGATAGTGGTTAACAACAACACAAGTAGCCGACCATTATACATAAATTTATATTAATAGAATTTTTGTCTATATGTAACTATTATATCAGCAACCACGTTTCTTCTGTTTTTTTTGTTTCTTAAAAAAAAAACATTTAGTGGAAAAAACCTGATTGCTTCACTTGTTATATTCAACTAATTTCTTAATAACATCAACCCTACCTACCGGAACTATTCAGGATATTTTAAAAAAGTCGAAGATTATCGAAAACTTTGTCCTAATCAATCAAAATTTAAAAAAATACAGCTAATGATAGCGAGCTAAGTGGTTTAAAAAATAAATACTTTTAAAATTGGGTGGGGATAGGGTAGAGGAGTACACATAGACCTGATTTTGGTGTCACTGTTTAAGTTATGTCCTAAAATTTTGGCACATCTACTTACTTCGGGACAACTTCAGACATGCAACGACTGAAGTTAGTCTTAACAAAGTCTAACTTGAGATAAAACGTTTGAAGTTTCATATGGCTGAGACTGAACTTCAGACATTTTTGCTAAACATCATGAATAGCCTAACTAAAACAGTTAGCTGCACTTAGCAGCAAGAGAACTCTTGTTGATCAGTATTCTGTAAAGTGAGACCGGGATCTTTTGCTGCTGCAAGGCGGGCACTTGTATTGCTTAATGTACTCAGCTGTGGCAGCGGTGATCTTCACACACTGGCCGTGGAACCATGTTTCACAATGATCGCAACATATCCAAAATTCATCCTTTGCATACTTCCCCTCACATACGCCGCACAGTGTCTCACCTCCCTCCTCTTCAACATCCATCTCAATACCCCATTCCTCCTCGTCTTCTTTATCTTCTTCTTCTTCATCATCTTCTTCATCATCATCATCTTCATATTTTTGCTGCAACTTTGTAAGCATACCCTGAGGCTCCGATGCCCTCTGTTTTATCAAGTGGTAAAGGAAACATCGATAGCTCAAAAAGAAGTTAATATTATGTGGTAGAAGGGTACAATACAGTCGAAAGATCACGAACAATTAAGCTAGTTTAAGACAAGCTATTCATGCAACAACTAGTCTAGATACCAGAAAATCAGAACTTTAAAGCAGAATTTGAATCAAAATCTGCCAAAAATGACCATAAGATTGATATTCAGATGCTTGCAAACACATCATTTTAGTCTTAACAACACGCAAAAAGGTATCACAGAGTTGACATGCAAATAAAGCATACTTTGGGAACATAATTTCTTTACCTTACTGGCGTTTGGCTTGGATTTGTTTTTACTTTGATTAGGGACTGTAGGTTTTTCTTTTTGTTGCGTCTCTGGCACACCAATCACTACTTCATGTATTGAAGGTAAATCATTTATCATGTCAAAGAGCTTCTTCCTGGAAAAGAGAAGGCAACTAATGAGCAACAACATAGTAAACATCATGAAGTGTTAAAGCACAATGACTTGTGTCACAATTGAGGCAAAAGACCATCTCTGGTAGCTTAATAGATATCTGAATGTACTAATCCTCTATGCACAAAGTTCAATGCGAAAAAAATCTAGAACAAGGGCTTCCCATTAGAATCACCATTCAATATGAACGATTTCGCATACAACAAACACGAAAGTGCAGAGATGAATTTAAGTTGAACCACACAATTCCATATTGATGTTGGTTGGTCGACTCAGATAACTGCAAATATCAGCTTGACAAGCATGAGTTACGTTCACCATACCACGTCAAGAAACCACAGCCCAGAGGTCAATGATCAACGTTCATTTGAGAGCAAGCCCTACTAAATAAACCAAGTTAATGTTCTTTTTAATAAACCAAGCTAGTTGAATCTAATTAACCTGTTAACAGCCACTCCTACAAGTGTGCTTCTATCAGCTCATTTTAACAAGTGCAAGCTAATATTCAAGGTAATACTCAACGAGCTATTTGCATTTTTCACACCTCTTTTTATGCATATTTTGCACTATGCATCCCGTCCTTCCTTTCACTTTTCCTTCCGAACCTCTTCATCTTCTTACAAAATGACTAAAATAGGTTTCCATTCAAACATGAACATTCTATAGGGGGTAAAATGGATATATTACTTATAAAGCTAATTAACGACTTCTATATCCTGAACATCCTCCATTGTTTCTGCTTAAGTACTAGAGGTGCTATTAGGAATTTCGGCATGAAATTCATTTCATAGGGTAGTAGTTCCATTTTAAGTAAGTAAAATATTCAGATTTGGACCAAAAAATACTTTAATGATTTTTCCCAGAAAGTAAAATGTGCACCAAAGGTGCAAAATACAATGAACTGAAATTAAACAAGCTTACTGCTTTTAACTTTTCTTGCTAGTAATAGTTACGGGCAGTGTTAGCTCAATACTAAAAGTATTAGTGTATTACTATATAACCAACCTAAAACACATTAATCAGATGCATTACTTCTGCTTTTAACAGAGAGCATTGAGAAAAAAACTTTAATGCATTGAGAAGCAGAATCAACACAAAAAAAACGTCAAATGAGGTACTGGAGCAGGCAGAATAGCTAAACGTATATTGTCAATCATCAGGACATGCTCTCAAAGATAATTTTACGAGCATGGAGATGTTTTGGCTGCATAGAAGAAACAAGTGAGAAGAAGTACCTCTCGGCTTTACCAAATCCAAATCTAGCACCAACGTAGAAGGCAATAGCAAGCAACCAAGAATCACTGTGATAGGCAACAAAAGAAAGCCACTCCTTTTGTTCCATCCCCTCTCTAGCAAAGTTGATACCAAGAACAGGCTCTGGAAGGCCTGGTGGTGAATCTTCAGCAGGTAGATTGACCTCCCATTGCTCATTTGGGAGTCCATACAAGCTTAAGTTCTCCTTTTCTGCATAAAAAACAGTTGATATGTTTGAGCATGAACAAGAAGAAATAGGAGTACCGTGTTATAAACAATTTGAGATAAGACAGATTAAACATGTTGACTGTAACAAAACTTGGAGGACAGGGGAGGTGCGGTGAGGAGGGAGCTTATAGTAGATGTTGCTCGGATTCTCCAAAAATTCTGCCACACCCATGTCGGATCCTCCAAAATACACTACTTTTGGAGGATCTGATGCACACTCATCAACATTTTTGAAGAGTCCAAGCAACATAGAGTATCCGTGATATAGAATAAAAAGGAGGTCCAGCAATCAATGACATTACTCTGATCAGCCACCCTAAATATCACTTCCAAAAACATGACGTACAACGTCTATCTACCACTGATTACAGCTGTAAGGCTTAGTATCCTGTGTATACTTATTTTTCACAGCTGTAACGAGGAAAGCATTATCAAATCAAAAGCAAGGGCTTAGAATTAGAATTGTTACTTTTAAGCTACACACGATGTAACTTGATTCTTCTTCTGCTTCAAGGAGGGGTAAAGAATTCCCTATAATGCCTGTGGATATGAGAACATTCATATCCAGATCTACCTTATCATAACGGAATAGAAATTCTATGTTCTGGGTAACAATGACTAAAATGTTTTGAATTTCATCTTCCCATATATAAAAATTCAGATACAGGAACAAAAGATCACTGATGGAATGATGTTAAAAGCAATATAACGATCATTGGAGAGTAAAATTGATGGTCTTACTCTATCATCCAATATTCAGGGGTGGCTCTACTCTAGAAATAGTGTGCACATGAACCCAGTGGTGGAGGCAGGATTTTCATTGAGGGTTCAAAAAAATAAGTATTTAATGTATTTTCTAGAATTATATGTTGCTATCCATGCTCCAAAAGCATTGAATGAACACTTGGTTGAACACTGAGTTATTTATCTAAAAAGACAAGGAACAATTCCAACTTAATATTATTTTTTCTCCTTTGTTTAGTAGTGTACCTAGGTTCTTGAAATCCTAGATCCGCCTCTCCCAATATGTCCAAAATCTTTCAACTTCAAATAACTAGAAAAAAGACATATACCTAGAGTCCAAAGGCAGATGGAGTTTACATACTATTGAGTGAAATTGATGTTCTTCCTCGTTAATCAATATTGTCCAAAATCTTTCAATATCTATCTAAAGAAAAGACATATAGACAAAGGCGGATGGAGTTTACATACCACAATCATTTGACAGTGAAATTGATCTTCTTAATGGATAATCCAAAATTTATATACTATGGATACAACTGTACCCAGTATTTAAGGAACCCTTAATTTTAAAAGCACTTAATAACTTTAAAAGTTGAACTCATCAAGTTTAAATACCGAATTTAACGTAATGCATATAACATACTACAAATTATTACAGAAAGAAAAAAATTTCAACCCTATTCCACTGATAACCCAAAATTCAAACAGAGACCATAACTTAAAAAGAATACAAAGAAGAATTATCCTTACCAGGATCACACTGCTTATAAAGTTCTTCCACATCTGAATACAAAAAACAAACAAAATCAATTAAATAAAGCAAAATTAAACATGATAACAAAAAAAAAAAAAACACAGGAGAAAACCTGTTGTGAGAGCTTTAATTAAACCAGTATATCTGCCCTTGACATTCTTAAACACATCAATGGGTTTAGGCTTCTTCTGTCCTTTTGCTCCAAATTCCATCTCTTTTTTTTCAAAAAATACCTCTTTTGCAGCTACAAACAGCACCGGCAAAAATCATATGAGAGAAGAAGAAGAAAGTCAAAAGCAGTTTTGACTTCGTACAAGGTTTCTGAGTCTGAGAGAATTTGATAATAAGATTACCAATTCTGATACTACTATACTACTTATTCTATTTTCTCCCAAATATATCAACGGGATTTTTTATTTTTTTTATGCATGATATATATATATATATATAGTCAACATAAATAATAATTTGTAACAAAATATTTGAGTACAAAGAATAATTTTTCTAATAGTGAATTTTTTTCGAAAATTGTCAATCTAACTTAAATATATATCCTAATAGAACTGAGAAAGCAAGAACATAATTAACTAACTAATGTTCGGCGTATTTATATATTTATTGTATTACTTTATTCACATTTTAATCGCTTTTGAGTAATAGATTATATTAGATATGCTCAATTTATGATGATTATTAAATTTTGGACTGGTTGAGTTTTTCATAATTTATTATTGTTAATTCTGATTCTATGGACATATAGTGTTAGGTTAACATGAATAACCGGAAAAAAAGAGAGCAAGAAATAGAAACGAATAACAAAACTTTACGAGAGCACGTAGGACTTTCCGATGCAAATCAGGATTTAGTCGAGTTCCAATATGATAGCGGACACCAGATGAGAAAACAAAAGGAAAGGAAAAAAACCACGCAATTATTCGATAAAAAATTGCGAAGAAAACATAAACCAGCCACAATAAACTAAAAATTACTCTTTGGATTGAGGTATTTAAAGCATTAAATAGAAAACAACCATGCCAGGTTATGGACTAACTATAAAGTTTTCAGAATAATGTACTACAATACTAACATAGCCAAGGATGACTTCCCACTTTTAATAGCAACACTTGCATCAAAAAGATGATAAACATGGATTGCTCGTGTTATCTTTCTTCTCTTTGTCCAGCTGTGAGGTCCCTCTGTTACGCGCTGAGAAGGCGGAGTACTTAAATGATTGGTGATGGTAAATAGCATCACCGTTCGAGCCACTAGTGATTCCAGAGTATACTGGTGTGGAGTAGCTTCTGGATTGATGAATATTGGGCTCCAACATTTTTCTGTTGAGTTGCAGCTCATCAGATACCTGATTGTCTTGACCATTGATCAAATCAGGGGATTTGGACTCTCGAGGCTTCTTCATATTGACAAAGCGCCCACCGGGTCCCCTAGCCCTATTCAATGCATGACGATGCCGGGACTCATGGAGATATGGCTGAAATGTGTTGTCAAAGAAAAATAAGATGACTAAAGCACACAAAGGAGGAAGCAATCTTAGATTTAGCAGGTGTTAGCTGTGTGTGAACATAGCCCAACATGAAATGTAGAAAAGAACAAACTACTTATACGGTGTTGGATGCACTTAATAGTGTGAGACCTTCTAGGGAAAACCATGCGAGCTTGGCCCAAAGCAGACAATATTACACCACATTAAGGGTAATCATTGGGTTGTTTTAGCGTGATAGTAGGTTCAAATAAACCCAGCTTCTTTAACACGGTACATATGAAAAATCATTAAAGATTCAAAAAATATCCAAACCCATAATTGCAAAAGTACAATGGATTTAGTGGTGAGAACATAAAAGCTATACGCATTAGGTGTAAATCCTGGATTTGCACTGAAAGCACATTAACACATGTATACCCGTACGAGTGAGTGACTCAATACTAAGCAACAAGAAGGGTGAAGCTGAACCATTGTCAAACACTTACCTTCCGTCCTTTAGAGAGTTTGTTTTGAGCCTCCAGCCTAGCACGGTACTGTCTACGCCTGAGGATAGCCTGATATTGTTTAGCATTGACAAATATAGGCTCATCTTGCTTAAGGTCGAGCGGAAGTGGCACGCGAGGAGAAACCATGCCTAACATTTGGGATTGAACCTGAAGAAAACTAAATGGTAAGGATCCAACAGGGGGCATCGGCAGATCACACTGGCTTAAACAAATACAAGCATAACAAAAGACTTGGTTAATCATGGGCAGCTTGACATAAAAGATAACAATAGGTATCTATATAAGAGAGAAACTGAGGGATGGGGACCATATACTTATACCACTAATTGGAGATGCCTTTGATATTTAATGTAGCGAATGCCGAATATCTAATCGAACAAGTCTGTATGAAGGATCTCATGTTTGGTGTTATAATATTTAAATTCACTTGAACATATGAGTGGACTTTCCTTCTCCAAAGAATAAGTTGGCCAAAAAAAGCAAGGAATCATCAAAGTAAAGCAGATGCAAAGTGATTAGGATAATCCAAAGAACTCTAAAATGGCATAGACCTTTTCTAGAATTTACTTATGATCCTTCACAGAAATGTAAAGCCAACACAAGTTTAGCGCATCTCTAATTCCTTTGAAGAAAAAGTTAAAAAGTGCTGATACCAGATTGAATCAATCCAACCGTGATTAGTAGTTTTAGGTGGTTTTCATTTATTCGAATAGTACATATCAAATATTATAAATTGGTTGGAGGGGTAGGGGGGAGGGGGTGTTGCAGGTGGATCATGACCTAGATATCATACTGAGAACCATATAACACTATCCTTCCCCCCACCCCACCCAAAAAAAGTTCTCTTTCCTACGGAACAAAAAAAAAAAGGAGAAGAAGAGTTGAAAACAAGTTCTTCACTTTTGAGTGATTATTTGGAGCACACTGGTTATTCACTAGTTGGGTGGTTTTTCAAATACAAGTGCCTCGCTAAAAGCTATAGTATAACTTGCTCATATTCAATGGACTGAATGATTTACTCACCCTAAGATAGTCGAGATCACTGGAAACAAGAAAATGTCCACAAGAGGTTTCATATATTTGTTGCATATGTTAATGAAGAACAAATGCAACTAGTAAAAAAAAAAAAAGTTCGGGGGGGGGGGGGGGGGGGAATAGGACCTTAGTAAAGGTTAGGTGTGTCTCAGGGATT